TGGATTGTTTTATTTGAGCAAATCAGGTTTTAAATTCAAAATTCTTTGTTGCCAATCAGAAGGCAAAGTCGCGTGGGATCAGCCTCTCGTTTCCATCCACTGGCCAGTCCCAAACACACACCTGATTTGAACTTTTACGCAAGAATTTGGGAATTTGGTTGTGTTTTGCGGGCTTTAAAACAAACTGCTCTAATTTGTAAAAAAATCGTGACCCGACTTGACGTGTAGGCTTCCGAGAAATTGCGGTTCTGCGTTTCGTTTCCTTCATCACTAGTGATAAAAAATGAATATTGAAAGGGAAAATTCTCTGCAAATATCAAGTTTCTGGGAGATTTGAAGTGAGCAAAAGAAGTTTTATCGAAAATGAAAATACGAGTTTTAGAGTGATGAGATTGAGCTAGTGTTCTGAGCAAAATTAAATCCTCAATGGGTGTAATTGTTTGCTTTTTTCTCAGTGTTTCTCTTTAACTTCCACTTTTCATTTCTGTATCAAACGGGAATTTTTTTAGGAAGCTAAATCAGTTAGTTAGTTAGCTATATTATACAGAAACTCCACCCATTTCAGTTGTAAATGTAGCTTTGTTAAATGTATTTGATACTCTTATTCCTCTCTTTAATTTAACCCCACCAAAGGGACATTAGTTTGATGCACAATCCCACTTCATTAGATATTCATTTCGTTCTAATCAGGGAGGGAGATGAGAAGTAAGATCTGTCATCTGATATTTTGAATCACTTGTTCAGTATGTCTTTTTTTTGCTGTTTTCGGCTACCGACTATCTTGGAGGCTATTATTGCAAGAATAAGGTAAATTTTCGCATTCTAGTATAAAGTGATCGGGAGTCTCCTCAGTAATTCCACATATGTATCGGAAACTTTGAATTGTAGGGTAAAAGGTAGTAAACGGATCATAAATTTAAAATCCAAACAACATGAATCCGAAAGCAGATGGGATACAACTCGTTTGATGCCATAACTATTTCCACAGTCCGACCCCCCTCCTCCTCCTCCTCCTCCAATCTCTTATTGGGCTCTACTCATATTCGACTTGACGCATAGCCTGGTTAATAAAATTAGCGACTTTCAATCTATTATTCTCAAGGTCAGGGTAGAAAACCGCTTCCAAATGTCACATCTTTAAGTCAGGTAGGAATTGCATTAGCTTGTTTGGTGCCATGTTCTTTAATCAAGCACCTGATCTGGACGGTACTTTTGGCAGCTGTTCATTCCGAAATTGTAAATCATATATTTTTGAAAGGCGGATAGTCATTTTTCCTGAATGCAAATCATCATGCCTCTTATAAACTTACTTTATTAAAGATTTAAATAGCATTACCCGAGAAGTTGCTGATAACCCGGTCTAGTTTACTTCTTGGTATGCCTTGTCAAATGCCATGAGTTCACACGTGGGGCAGTTGAGTAGGCAGGCAACCTTGCCTTTTAATTTCATTTTGCGAATTGGCATCTAGGCATTCCTGCTTATCTTCTCTTTAATTGACTTAATATAATAATATAATTTTATAGGCTTCTCCTTAAGGGTTCTTATTCTAGAGGTCGTAAATTCCTTGCACTTCTTCATTCTTGGAAATGCTGTTTACATGCAGCCAGGGAATTCCCAACTGAAGCATCTCTTATAAATAAATTCATATTTGTCCAGTGTACTTGTTTCTGATGATAACAATGATTGTATTTCTTTGCGATGTTGAACGCCTTTGTTTGCCATATTGTAATATTAAATCCATGTTTTTGTTGCTAGGACCTAGGTGTACCAATAGTCATCTATTGACTAAAGCTAACGCAGTCCAGGAAAGAGAGTGAGACAGTGTTGCGATTTTTTAACGAAGTCTATATGAATAAAAGACGTTTTGGCATGTTTACTTGTCACATTTTAAGGTCTGACTGTCAAGAACCACAGGATGCATTCAGTTATTGCAAAGATGGGTTAGTGACTCGATGGTCGTCTGCTCTATGTAAACTGTTCCTTCTTAAACAAAGCGTAAACTGCAAGGCTGAGTCATGCTTCTCAGCATTCTCCCATTGCTTGATCAATTATCTTTTACTGCGAAACTTTAATTGGGTTTGCATATTTCTATCGTTTGGTAAAATAGGAGCCATAGTTTATAAAACTCCAACTATCTGGTCAGGTCTTTGTCTTATCTTATAAGAAGCAGGATATGATAGTATCACTTGAGTTTGTGTAATTTTGAGTTGGTCACTAAAATTCCTAGAAGTATGTCACTTCTAAAACTCCGCTTTCAAATTTTGAGGTCGGGCTTGATCTCTTTTTACAAATTATTTTTTGTAATGATATCCGTGTCATGTTCCAACCAAATTGATCTTTGTTACAAGTTTTCAATTTTTCTTCGTGTGTCCTGTATATCTTGATGATATGTTCCCATCCAAGTTAAAGATCCTGCGTGTTTATACAAGGGTGATCTGTGTAAATTCCTACCAATTCATCTCATAATTAAAATTAGTTCATTATTGTGTGCGCATCTTCTCTTTGAATTCCTATTTTCCATTAGTAATGATCATAAGGCATATTGTACGGTGTTTATTAGAAATAATGGGTTACTTCAAGACGTTGAGCGGGATAAAAGATAGATCCCTCCTTAAAATTGCATATTTCATGCGCCTGCTATATTTTCCGTTTCATTACTAAAAGTTTCCATTTCTGCAAATGTACTTTCGTTGATTTTATCTCTTGGTTTATTTAGCAAGCTTTCGTTTTAAGTGTGGACTTTTAGGAAAACACATTTATTCTTTTATCGACTCCAAGGTGATCCTATTATATGGTATCACTGAGCAATTTATAGGTTAACGAGTTTAGTTTGGTTTATTTTAAGATTTGTATTGATTAGTCGTGTCTCCATGCTACATTTCATGTTGTATTGTGAAATAATTATTTGCTACCGATGCACGATTCAATCTGCTTTTAAGCATTTTCTGCTCAATACTTTCGTTTGAATGTCAACTTGGAAGACATTTTTGTCTTCAACCTTCAGTCTTTTATGAGAGTGGGGGGGGGGTTAAATTTTTATCTGTAGATTTTCTATGATATTGGCAAAATTCGTGTGTATAAATTTACATAAACCATTGGCTAAAATCAAACTCTCAAGTCTCCCGTATTTACTTCTTGCTTTTTCACTCGTCTATTGACTTCGAAATTCGCATAGTTCAGGTTAACATACCAGGACGATCATCTACTCTTGTATGCTCTCGGAAAAATCGTGGACGAAATTCCAATTTGCAATATCGCTTCACCGTAAACAAACAAATAAACACACCGATTATTGATAATGTTCAAAGATTAGGTCATACGTACATCCATACTCCATATTAGCCAGTCTAATTTACGAATTGGCCTATATGGACTATCTTGAGCCTATATTTGTCAACTGGAACGTGATAGGGTAATAAAGTGAGTGCAGTCACATCGAGTTAGGCTATTATGAAGTTAATAATATCGAGATGGAACCGAGTTGGGTCGTTATTTTTTGCCATTACTTTTCCCTCTTTCTCTTCAGGTGAACATGTTGCGAGAAAGATGTCGAGGCTTGGAAGAACGCCTAACCATGGAACAGCAGTTAAAAGCAGCCGCTCTTACAAATACATCAGCTGTTCAAGCCATCGATACCAGAGAGATTTTTGATCGGTCTAAACGCGATGGGGAAGAAATCCGGCGCCTGCAGTTTGAGTTGGTCCGTTTAACTACCGAGTTGACCAATGCTCAGGGTCAATTATCCTCCCTTGAACAGAGATTAGATGTAGCTCTGCATGGACGTCTTAGATATAAGGACCTCTGGACTCGAGCATTACAGGAGGTGACTAGATTGAGACAAGAAGCAACAAATGCAACCAAATTGGAACTTCAGCGTAAGGAAGCTGAGGTGGAAGAATTGAGGAGGGAACAAAATCTTCTACTTCGTACTGGATCCTGCATGATTCTTCAGAATAACCCTGGACAGAGTAATGGTGACTATGCTCAACGGTTAGTTACTTTTCATTATCCTATGTTGATTTGTTAACAGGTGGTGTGGCATTCAAAGGGATAGTTGTCATATAATTCGTGTTAATATCAGTTAATGCAATAACTGCGAATCTGCATTCAGCTCTCTTATACGTAGTGGCTATCAACTTATCTAAAAGCTAATAAAACTAGTACCTAGAGAGCGGAAAGATTTGTTGATTTCCAGTTTTAGTCTGAATAACTTAATTGCCACAGGTCTAACTCGCGTTTTTATGATATAACGTTGATATTAGTTATGTTGAGCATTCCCACATTGGAAAGAATCATTGACTATACGGAGGTAGATTTGGCATTCACTTTAAATTTATAAAACATATGCTCACTTATATTCATCAAACACTTACTCAGGTGCGTTCGGTGTTGTTCGGACAGGAAGAATGGCTGCTTGGGATTAGTAATGCCCATGCTTGTTTCTTTGTCTCCTATCTAGTGCTTAGCTCAAAGCGAATAAGTTCAGGAGGTGATCGCACTAAGGATCTGAGTCGTGTCTATGGGAATGTGAGATGTGAGGTGTTGAAGCATTCGCATTCCAATTGTCATGCGTTTCTTTTATCTTAAATAAATCCTTGTCCCACTCAGATCATTTCAAGAGCGATGAAAATCATTGTCTCATGGAGAAGGAGAACAAAGAGTACGTAAAACTGTGTCATCACACTTGAAAGGGAACGTCTATTAACGACCATAGATCCGAGTGTAATGTGTGGGGTTCTATCGTTTTGCAAAAATCTAAATCCACTAAATCTAAACCACTAAATATACTGAAATAAACTTTTAAAGAAAATGATATTCAGGTCAACGAACCGAGATAACTTTCATTCCACTTCAAGTTATCTAGTTATTATTTTGCAAAAAGAGAACCGACAAACAAAATGAATAGCCAAAGATGTTAAACTCATGACATCTTTTAATCATAACAAAATTGGAGAAAAAGCATCAATCTAAATCCATCTCCTTATTGATTTTGTGGGTTGAATCATAGTCGATGACGTAGATTGATGCTTTTTCTCCAATTTTGTTATGATTAAAAGATGTCATGAGTTTAACATCTTTGGCTATTCATTTTGTTTGTCGGTTCTCTTTTTGCAAAATAATAACTAGATAACTTGAAGTGGAATGAAAGTTATCTCGGTTCGTTGACCTGAATATCATTTTCTTTAAAAGTTTATTTCAGTATATTTAGTGGCAAAATGGTACAGTCTTATCAATCTCACATCTCGTTGTTCTCAGTGTCTAACTTACTGGCAGTAGAAGCTGTAGGCTAAATTTAGTGCCTCCGATTTTGCACAGAGATTATTTCAACAATGCAATAATCTCATGTACTCTCATATTCTTCTTCTTATCACTTACCACTACAGTATTATTCAATTATTTCCATCGACACAGTCTATTATAGTGAGATATTAATGTTACTTTTACTGTCACAGTTATTCGGGAGAAAACAAAATTCAAGGATTTGGTAACTGAAAGTTGATGAATTTTATTTCTTGAACTTAATCTGTGATTTGTGACATTTTTTGGTAAGTACACGTCGCTTACATTGGTATACGGGAAGGTGGCTAGAAAGAAAATTGTTTTATTTGTCAATACAGTTAGCCATTGAATGAAAAATCACAATTATTACACCCTGCATACTTTTGATCACTGATCGGCTTTGTGGGCCGTGCTTTTCACAATACGATAGTAGTATGAAGTTACATTGATCAGCCTCAATTTCGTTATATTTATTTATTTCAAATGGCAGGCATTTTGATAGTTATCATTAGCCCCTTAGCTGACTTTCGGCTTCATTAAGAGAAGGAGAAACATCAAAGTGGCAAAAAGTCGAGAGGAGGACAGAAGAGAGATTCAAAGATGCAAAAGAGACAGACACAAAGGCAGAGAAAAGGTAAGATGAGCACTGTGGAAGTGGTGGAATATGACATACAGTCGGGTCGTGGTAGTTTGAAGTCAGTTAATAGGCTCTTTTGCCGTATGAGTATATGTTGCTCAGGGTGCACCACGTGACGGTAAGTCTATCGCACACCTCTCAATTGTGTTATGTAAGTCTAAGACTAATTACAATACACTACTTGGGATTGTGCGCTTCTCTGTAGCCGACTTGATTGGATTTCTGGTGTTATTATTGTCCAGGTACAAAATTTGTCAACAAAGGGCTTCAATCTTGAAGAACATTTGGTAAATTACTCTCCGATGTGCCTTTGCTTTTAAAAACGCTTTGTAGACATTTTTTTTCTAAGAACTTAAAAGGTTGCCAATTGTTCACCCTCAGTG